TTGGCCTTGTGGCGGCAGTACAGATGCTGCTGCAGAAAGCTCAAGATCTTCCTCCAGGAGTCCTCCTGAGCGTCCGCATGAGGTTTGGTGTGACCTCCCCACAGCATCACCACTGCAACACACACGGTGATATTTGTCGGAGGATTATTCCTTCAGTCTGCATCTATAAGGACTAAATATCAACGGCCAACATTAACACAGATGTAGGAGTCTAGCAGTTACACAAGTGACTCTTTACTGCCGAGTCCTTTAACTCTGGTGTTGAACAAACATTTTACGACCGCATCTCACAGATCAAGAGTTACGAATTAATAAAACACTTGATGTTCTGTAGCTGGCCACATGGTGGCGCTATTGGTACCACACTTAAATATGTGGAGCACATGATGGATTTCCCTTCATATGGGTACGACTGAAACCACTGCTGAGCTGATGGCCAGAAGAAACATTGTTGACCTGATAAGACTGGTACTGTTCTGATTGGGGACACAACCAAACATGTCAGAAGACTGTGGACTGTTTAGAAAGATGGTCGTAGCGACCCTGGTGTCACCCGTCAGGTTGTGGGCTACCATTTGGAAGTCTCCAGTTTGGACCAAACATGGGGAAATGGCCTTTAGCTGCCCACTGCTAGAACCAGCTCCTCATGGAGACTAGATCTGTGAGCCTACCATGCTGTGGTGACTTTGTTAGCTTCATTGTCACTTAGCAAGTGATCACTGTGGTGTCTCTGCCACAACTCACCTTTCCCTCTATCGCTGGTCATAAATTGAGTAGCCCTGAAATGAGGTGAGAAGGGCGGTTCAATCAGATGTCCGGCACCAGGATACTCCAATCTGCTCAGCAGGTGTTCATTCCCGGCTTCACACATCATCCGGGCTATCTGGAGGTCACAGGTCAAATCAAGATCGAGGTCAAACTGAATGTAAGTCTACGGTGCTGGACGTCCATGTCAACATAGAGGTGAAAACTTTGATACCTGGCAAGTGTCCCATAAGACAGAAGTAGCCTATTGGTATGTTGTTTATGCTAATGTAGCAGCTAATGTTGTCTTGTTATGAGTAGCTACCGTCTTGTTTGGCAAAAACACAGTGATTACCATGATGGCAGCGCCTTGTTGTTTAGGCTAAAACAGCCAGTAACATTTATTATTATTTTTTTTTTATTTCACTAAGGTCAAGGTCTCTTTATCTGTCTCCCGAGGGAGAAATTTGTCTTGGACAAGAGCACTGCTGTCGGTCAATACAAGGACAAAACAAAGATGCTAAAGAAGCAGGCAAAAAATGCTAAACATGTGCAGGAAACAGTAATAATTTATAAATATAAAAATAAAGTGCAATACTGCAAAAATAAGCATACACACACCTGTGCGATACATGTACACTGCCCTGTATACACACTAACCAACAATACACTTCCACGTACTTCCTTGCTCACATGCAGACCTCCACACCCACTCACCCGTAATGTTCAGCATACAGTTGCACGGTACTTGTACATCCTCAACAGTAGTTCACGACCTTAAAGACCTTGTTCGTTCCTGGTCATTTCCTGTTTGCTGCTCATTTAGGAGCTTTACTGACAGCGGAATGAATGAATGAATGAATGAATGAATGAGTGAATGTTTGTAACGGTTATGTTTACATAAAGGGTGTCTGGACCTCTTCCCGGAATTTAGCAGAACACATTCATGGAACAGGACATGAGATGTGTCAGACAGAATGTTACTGACCGGCCTGATGGTAATCTGCTCAAACACTTCTTGGAGAGTATATGGAACAGGACTGGCCATGATCTTTACCACTATTTTCACCAAGCTGTCAATCAGATTTTTGTTGTTTTAATTGTGAGATTTTCGAACCAGGAGGTGACACCATACCCAAGAATGGATTCAGTGGTTGCACAGTAGAATATTTGCATGATGTTTCTACAAAACACCAAATAAGTCGTCTTAAAAAGTGGAGTTGCTGATGGACCATGGCACAAACACTGTGTACGCCAGCTAAGGTCACTATCGATATGCACTCCCAGATATTTAAATTAGGTTACCAGTTCGATTGTTTCCCCGTGTATGGTCACCGGACTCTGGTCACCCACTGATCTGTCTGGCCAACATTAACTTGTTCAGGAGAGTTAGGTTACCTTAGCTGCTAACATTTAGGTTGAAATGGCAAGTAGCGTCATCAGGTTAAAATAAACATTTAGGTTAAAGGTTCAGTGAACATCATCTCGTTTAAGGTAAAAATTTCAGGTAGCGTTAGCGCGTTGCTGTAGGTTGTCGTTACTGCGTTACCTTTTGTAAAATAGATTCAATTTTAGAAACATCCATCCATCCATTATCTATACATCGCTTAATCCTCACCAGGGTCATGGGGGGCTGGAGTCTATCCCAGCCGACTCAGGGTGAAGGCAGGTTCACCTGGACAGGCAACCAGTCTATCACAGGGCTACACTTAGAGACAGACAACCAAGCACACTCACATTCACACCTACGGACAATTTACAATCACCAATTAACCTCAGCATGTTTCTGGACTGTGGGAGGAAGGCGGAGAACCCAGAGAGAACCCACGCTGCACGGGGAGAACATGGAGACTCTACGCAGGAAGATCCCGGTGCCCCCACCGGGACGCGAACCGGCGACCTTCTTGCTGCGAGGCAACAGTGCTAACCAACTGCACCACCTTGCAGCCCATTTTAGAAACATAAATTTGATATTTTTTGCTTTTGTATTAAATATATTATCAATATTTTAGCTACTAATAAAATTAGTATCAAGACGTGTGTGTGATTGTGTGTGTGTGTGTGAACTCACATCTTCAGCTGCTTCAAATGAAGACAAGTTCTGATCATCACAGCCAGTGATCAACAACACCGGAGACTTTAAGTTTCCCATCTGCCACAAAGAACTGCTTTAAAACATGCTAAAATACTACAGATGGTAAAATAAAGCACACTGAGGCTGACGAGAGTCCGACTGGTTCTGCAGGTATCTGATTGTAAATGAAAGCAGTGGAAGCATTGACACTGATCACAGGCTGTAATGAAATGCTAATATAAAACACTACTTACGTTCACTTTCTCTGAGGGATCGACATCAAGAAGTGCCAGACCAATACCTTTCCAAATCTCATGATTGTTCTCGTCCCAAGATAGCTTGTCCAAACGTCTGTCATCACAGATGTTTGTCCATGTCACCCAGCCTGTAAACCTTTATGTTGTATGTTCATGTTACTGACAAATGCTGTACTTACTTTGTAATTTCGTCAGGGTACAATGCAAGAAGCTTCTCCTTCGGATAAGTTGTGAAGCTGCTGATGCAAACAGCACAACGAGGCTGAAACCCAAGAAGAAATCAAGTCTTTTGGCCATTTAATGGTAAACGTGTCGTCTTTCGGTTGAGTCACATGATAACTTTAATCAAGCATTAAAAAGTGAATTAACCTTTAAAGACTGAAGGACAAGCAGCTTGAAGGTATTTTGCTTCACTACCTTGACAACAGTGCTGTCTGCTGCTAAGTTGAGGGCCACAAGTGAACCAAGGCAAAGCCCAAAGACTCCAACTCTGTCTTCAATCACTTGAGGATGGTCCTTGATGATATTAAATGCAGTCTGTGCAGAGATCCATTCCAGGGAATTAATATTATTAACAGAAAAACAGGTCATCTGCATGTTCTGAAAGACGTACTATGTCTAATTTAGCTTTAGCTGTCCAATGACATTTAAATTTAAAAAAATAAAATAAAATCAGTGTATTAAAAGCGGCAAAGATTCTCAATTATTTGACAACTATCAGGGCAGCCAACTAAAATTTGGAAATTAATCAGTTTACATAATTTTTTTAAGAAAAAAAAAGAAGCATAAATTCTCTGATTGCAGCTTCTTTGGTGTGAATATTTGTCTCTGGTTTCTTTCCTCCTCTGTGACAGTAAACTGAATACAACACTAGAAAACACTGACACTCTTATTTTATGATCATGTAAAACTGGTTTCGGTCTGGAACAGGTGCTCCATACATTTCACTGCGCATTATGCTGTGTATGGCAGTGTTCATGACAAATAAAGGTCTTGAATCTTGAATTATCAGAACAGTTTTTGCTTGATTTTCTACCCGATTGATCCAAGAACAGCTACATATCATACCAAAACAATGAAACACCTCATACCTGAAAAGGCATGACCTCTACAGACAATTAAATCACACAAACCTCAGAATGGCTGAACTCTGGCAATTCGCAACCCAAGAAGTCCAGCGACATCGAAGCAAAACCATGGGACGCCAACAAAGCAGAGCGATACTCTATCAGCCCTCCACCACCTCCCCAAAGGTCCAGAATCCCGGGGAAGGGTCCTGGACCTGACCAGAGGAGAACCAGTAAGTTCATTTAATGCTAACCGACAATAATCATGACAAAA